TCGTCCAAGACTTGAAGAAAATTTCCCTTTATCTTTGAAGGAAAAACAAACCACAAATATTTCCCATACATTTCCTGGCTTGAATGCAGTCAGCATTTATTTCTGCATCAGCAGTGAGTGGGAGGTTTAGCATCTCATGACTTGGCAGAACTAGCAATAGAAATAGAGCAAAAATGTTTGGATGAATAGTTTATTCACTAAAAAAAGGCAATTTTGGGTGGCTGGAACAACTTGTGAATCCCTGCTGAGCAAGGTGGACACTTTTATATGGAATCTGAATAATAGAGGAAGAGTAGTAGTATTTTTTCACCCTGTTTAAATTAGACATTTCTTGCTTGTTTCTTGTTTTGTTTTGAAAATTGCCCACTTTTCATTTAAAGTAACTTTTGTTTCAGTTTTGATTTAAAATTATGCTTTGTTCTATTTCCACCTTTCCAATCTGCAAAATTCTTTGAAACCTTTTTCTTCAAGAGTTTGTTTTAATGCATGGAAAAAGTTAATTTCAAATTGTAAGATTTCACAGTAGCTGAAAATTGTATTCTTTAAAAAACCTTGCCTAGAATATGGCATTGTGTAAAAGCAGAGATTTGTGGCTTTATATCACAAGTAAAAGCTATTTTTTCATACCAAAATAAGTGAGTATGTGTTTTTTAACACAAACTGAGTACCTTTCACTGCATGTTGAAGTTATTTTCACAGGGCAGAACCCTGGGAGTGGATGAATGATTCTTTATTTCCATTTTACACTCATTTGACAGAATCAGAGAGTTAAAGCAGTTGTCTGGATTCTCATGAGACTGGCACTGTAGCAAAAACAGAGCTCACATTTGGCTTGATTCAAAAATGTCAACAAATGACAGCTGCTGAGCTGCAGGACCCATGACCAAGTTTTCCCCTGGATTCTCTCCACAAAGGCGTTCTTCCTTCTGGTGGTGACACACTGTGGGAGAGTCACAGTGACAAAATAAAAAGAGTTTGAGAAGTGGAAGGTTTAATACCCTCAAGTCCTTCACAAACAGTGTAATTAATTCTCCTTGTGCTTTCATTTCCAGGAACTTCACTGGGGCCAGTGATGCCACGGCAGTGTATGGAGAACAAGCAGGTCTTTTTTTATCTAGTGGGTATGGTCAAATAACAAATGAGGAAAATTATGAAGGGAAAGAAGCAGCTTTGTCACATTTACTATACTTAGCCTTACCATACTTGGCTCTTGATGCAGACAGCTCTAATTCAGAAAAAAGTTCCCTCATTAGCTGGCCCTAAAACATTTACAAAGAATCTGAATAATTGATATAATTTATGGTTTTATTGGTGGGAGCCATTAAATTCCCTCCTCCCAAGCAGCATTAGGGAGGAAGCTTGGCAACATGCAGTAAAAAATGGAACAGCTATTTAAAGAAAGAAAAGGACAAGAAAATCTTATTGGGCTTTCTGAACATGATAACACTGAACAAGGCAGAGTTTCCAAATATCCACTTCTAAAAGTATTTTCTAGTAAATGGAGCCAGTGTACTGTCAATGTTACAGGTTTTTCAGTGGAAGTTTTACAAGGTCTACCTTTGAAACAACCCCACTTATTTTTTATCTTATGCATGCTAACTTAATAATGTCAACTCGGAATTTGTATTGTTTCTGGATTCTGTGCTGCAAGTGAAATTATGGGAAGGGTGGCAAATGCTCTATTACAGTCTCTATTACATAAGGCTCATGTGGGGTCATTTCTGATATTCTGCTCTGCTCTGATTAGGATTACATCAAGGTGCTGGCTAACAGAAATAAGTCATAGGCTTTATCTAGCCAAAGTTAGTGTATGTCAAACATAAATATATACCTGAAATAGCCTTCCAAAACTCCAGTTTTGGTTAAATAGAAGAGACTGGCATTTTTAGGGTACAGTTTATTGTACTATAGTGTAGATATCTATGTTCCACTTAAAACAATTTTGTCCTAAAATTGCTTGTTTCTTAGCATTAATTGAAAAAAAAATCCCCACATGTACATGGTGCTTTTTAAGTTAGGTGAGAAGAAACCTCCAACAAAAAATTAGTCTACACTGTCCTGCATGTACCCAGCAGTGAGTGTGGAGCATGAAGCATGGACATGGTAGTTAAGGAAGCTGGAGAGTGCTGTTTGGTGGGTCCTTATCAAAGCTAAAGCTATAAGCCTTTAATTTGAACAAACATGTGAGTTTTAACGCTCTACCATGATCTGGGGAAAACCCCCTAGCTGATAATGTTGGCTTTGAGTTTGATGGAAGAACCTGCCTGAGCAATGGATGTGTCTAGGCTTTCATGATTTACTCAGTTTTGCAGACTCCAGCTTCTATGAGCATGTCAGAAAAGTCTATAGGTTTTTAGGCTTTGAGCAGCACAATTCTGTATATACTGAAGATTCGTAAGTAAACTAAATAAATTGTTTTGAAAACAAAGGTGTCAGCTTTTACTCATTGCAGGATTTTTCAGTTTATTTATTTTTAATATGATTCTGGAAGCAATTGCTTTCTGTTTTCTCATTTAAAGCTGTGCCATGGTGTGGCCCTGGCCAAACAATAGAACAAGCTATGTATCTGCCAAGGATATCGTGATTCTCTGATTCTGTCCCAGCGGGCTGGAGTTAAAATAATCCAGCTGGCTCAGCAGTTATGTGGATGCCATTTATGGCAGCACAGTATAAGTGGCAGGACGACTAACTCAGGGCTTCCTTTATCATTTTGCCTTCCCTGCTTTAGGCCCACCAGGACTGGATTTGCACAGTCAGAAATGCTGATTCTTCTGACTTCAGCTCCTTGTATTGTACTGTCTCTGACAGCACAGTCCAGCTGTTTATTCATGTTTAATACATCTCCTAAGGGCTTTTGTAAAGGAAACAAACTGCCCCTTCAAGGAAAGCAGCAAACAACCTAATCTCAGCTGCATTTTACACAAATTACAGTGACTTGATTCCTACTGTGCCTCAGCCTGTGGCACAGAGCGTCTGGGACACTGTCGAGTTTTCTCTGCTTTTCACGTCTGCTCAGTAAAGATGTAACTTATAAAATTTTTTATATGTGAGGGAGTGAACTACATACCTGCTGTGTATCTAATTGAAAGGCACAATTGATGGTGTCACCTCAGCCTGCTACATGGCATCCTGTGTGAGCTGTGTGGTGGGCACTGCCACATGGAGCTGCACTATTGCTACTGAAAGGCATGCTCCTCTCATGCAGGCTGAATAACAGTGCTTGGCTCCTCTAAAATATCCTTCTCAGTGTTGAGGATCTGCAGGATGAAGCTCTATATCCTTTCTGTTGTGTTCTGAATGCCAGTTCCTCTGCTCACATTGCTTGCTGAAGCACAAAGTGCAGTATATTCCATTTGACATTAACACAAGGTCTTTTATGGACTTTGAAAAATGATGCTATTCAAGCATATGGCAAATAGGACCAAAACCTATTTGCACCTAGAGGTGCAATTTACACGTAGAGGTGAGATTCCTTACATCACAGAGTGGTTGTCCAGCCAAATAGTGAGGTCATTTTGAATAATATGCAAAGGATAGAAGTGGATTTTCCAAGATTGAGATTTGGTCTCCTTAACATGAGTGTCAGGAACACAATGTCCTTTTCTGGTGCCTTTTCAGACCTCTATATGCTTTGACTACAATAAAGTGTTTTGCCTGCAGGTTATTATTCAAATGTTTATAATATTTCGGGGTTTAGGTACAATCCATTTTGCTTATCTTGATTCATCTGCATGGGGGTGCCATGGGTCTCTGTCAAATAGAGGTGACCTTGAGTATCTGAGACATCTCCAGGGCACTGGTTAATGTGAGATACTGAAGCTTTGTGCTCTGCTGAATTAGCAAATTGATGCTAGGTACCTAATGTGTCAATTTGTGATGCTGTTATTTAGGCAACTGTGTAAAGCCCTGGGTGCCTCTGCCTACAGAGGTGTTCGAAGCTCCTCCTTCCAGACATGAATAAGAAGAAAGTCTATTTGGTTGTTATTAATCTCATTGTAGAGAAGACATGTAAAACAGTTCAATGCCTTGCATCCTAGATGTGCCCATTTTTCTTCATTCCTTGATTTATTTATGTCAAAGTAGTTTATGCAACTAGCTCACATGTACATTGTAGACATTAAGTCAGATCATTATAATTTCACTCAGGAGGTAATACCTGATGAACAAAAGACACAACCTGCTGTTACCTAATCATAAGATCTCTGCTTAAAATCTGCAAGACTACAAAGAAAAGCAGAGACCAAACACCTGTGGAGAATGTAGCTTTGATATGCATAGTGTGTAGCTCATTAATTGGCTACTGTTTGGCCCAGTGTGGTTAATATTATAAACATCTTGTGACATTGCAGTGCTGTAATGTATCTGATTTTATTGTGGACCAGTCAATTCAAATCAGAATAGATTTTTACTAGAACAGATGCAGCTGGTATTTGGGTATTTTTAGTAGATAATATCTATGAAGATTTATTTTTCTTATAGAGATGTTGGGTAAAGGGGTCAAGCAACTAGGATGGAATATTTAATTGGTAAAATTGTATCAGCCCATACAATAGAGTACCCTGAGTTTACTTTGAGGTTGTGGATACCAAATATAGCTAATTAAGCATTATGGTAATTGGTTCATAAAAATTTAAAAAGGTGAAACCTATAAACTTTCTACAATTGTTTTTCAATAGGCTTTTTATCATATCTTGTATTTGTATTCTTTTTTCCAATCTTTGATTGTGACGATAAGACACTTGTATTTTGTTAAAGTAACTCTGATCTTTCTCTAAAGGCAATAGCTCATTTTTGTATTTTTGTGGACACTCATTTTCATTAATAGTTGGATTAAGTATTTTTTATCAGCCAATGAATTAACAAATCAAAACACAGAACAAGAAAAACTCACCTCATGGAACTCATGCTGTGCAAAAATAAGTGTTTATTTTTTTCACATCAATATCTTCAGCTTAGGAAGTAGTTTGAGATATAACATGCTGTGTCCTATTTCTTTCTAGGTCTCCTATGTAAAAGCTATCGACATTTGGATGGCTGTGTGTCTTCTCTTTGTCTTTGCTGCTTTGCTGGAATATGCAGCAGTCAACTTTGTTTCACGGCAGCACAAAGAGTTTCTGAGGCTTCGGAGAAGGCAAAGAAGACAAAACAAGGTACAGCTGCTCTTTACCTGGGGAGACTGAACATGCCCTGGCAGCCCTGCTAACGTGAAGCTGATTTCCTACCTCACTTCTTGCCCTTGCAGGAGAGTCTTTTTTCTAAAATTTCCTTTTCAGTGATTTACTCCTTGATAAAGAGCTCAGATTGGGTTTATTTGCAGTGTATTAAGTTATCAACAAATGTCAGTAATTGGTCGCCAGTTCCAAGAATTCTCTTCTCTTCATGGAACTGCTGAGGCAGCTGGACCTTTACAAATACTGGGCTACGTGGCAGCACCATTGGATAAGGAACTCTTGGGTGCAATGACACAGACAGAGGAATGATATTACCCAGGTGTGCTGTCATCAGGACATGCCTGAGACCTGTCTTTTCTAGTGCTGTCCTAGCTAGCTATGCTAAAATGGGAGGTTCCCTAGGAGAGCCCATTGCATTGATTTGCAGTTCTGCCCTCACTGTTACACCACCAGCGGCTGGTGTCTTTCCCAGCTGAAACCGTGAAACATGGCCATTTTAAAAAAGGAGGAGGATTAGGAGAATTTCTTTCTGATTCTGTCATTTCACAGTTTGTAACTGATGCAAACTTCAAATTTTTAGCAAAATACCTTTTCGTGAGTGTCACTATCACAGAATGTTATGCCAGTGTCTGACATGTAGAAGAGGGGATTGTTTGTAACCTAGATGTCAGTCTAGAAATAATTTTAGGAAGTCTGTCCATCTGTCCTGGATTGTTCTGTTTGTTTTTTTTTCAGTAAATGGGAAGACAAGAGTAGACATTAAATTGAGTTTTATTCGAGTCATGATCATTCACATGTCTAGAGAATCTGGAACTATAAACACTACATATATATTTGCTAGGTGAAGTAAGTATTTGCTTGAGCTGCACGAGTGCACAAGCCACAAATAATGGTTTCCCTTACAATAGGGATGACAACAATGGCACAGGGCATTTGTGTTTTGACAGGTCTGTCTAATCAATGTTCTGTAGCTAATGTAATATTTGATGGGTACTCTGGGAAGAAAGCTGTTCTCTAGTTTAATATTATTGTCAGATGAATTGAGATTCCAGTGAAGATTAGATTACAGGAGAGAGCAGAGAAGCTTGCCTGTCTACAGGCCTCATGCACTGCCTCTGGAAGCCTTTGTTTTCAAACCCAGCATGGCAGCAGCAGAAGCTTCTGTATGACATCTGTAGTTTCATTTTTGGATGCAAGATCTGTTTTAGAGGTGAACAAGTAACCGTCCTTGGTAAGTAACAGTATCCAGTGACATTACTCAAGTTTATGAGATTTTGGTCCATGGAAGTGGTCATTCATCTGCTTCGTAAACTATTATTTTGGTGACTGTGAAAAGAAAGTTATTTAAGACCAAATCATCAGAAGACTTGTGTTTATCCTAAGCCATGTGGTACCCGGGTTCTTTGCAAAATAGGTAACAACATAATTAAGTACAGGGAAATATGCAGCTGAGTAAGCCAGACCTATCCATTTGCATAAACTTGCTTTTTTCCTATGAATCTGGTTGCACAAATTTCAAAATAGGGAACAATGTTACTAAGGCAGTTTCTTTAGGAGGTATTATTTGCATCTTTGTACTTGATTTTGTCTCTCACGATTTTCTCAGTTTATTTTGTCTTGAAAGTGATTCTCATTGTTTTGCATGATGGTCTTCTCTAACTGAGCCATTCTTCTCTTTGCGTGTTGTGTGTGTGTGTGTCGTCATGCTGCTGCTGTGGTATTCCCATTCTTGCTGCTGCTATCTATGCTGACACTCTGGGGACAGGCACAGACTGTGGCTGTTGGGAATGCGAGCGTTGAGTCCGTGCGGCGCATGAATGGCTTGCGGAGCAAAGAGTCATCAGCTTACGGGACAGTGAATCAGATCGGCAATTCAAGTTTGAGGGTAAAGCTGCAGTGAGAAAGAGAAAGCAAGAGAGTTTTAGTATGTGCAACGATGCCATAAATCAGCAAAATGGACCATTTTGATTGGCATCACTAGTAGTCTCTTGCATTCTCTTTGCTAAATGCCCCCACAAAATACACAGTACTGTCCCCAGCATGAACAGCAGTTTCATGTTGTACATTCTTATGGCCCACCCTTGTGCTTGCTTTTTACTGCGGCTGGGCTATGCCACCCCTATTCCAAACCTCTTAAGGAAAGTGCATGCACATTCAGCAGCTTGGTCCTGTGTAAAGATAGAGTGAATGGGGTGGGGGGGAGAGGGCCATAGGAAATGCCTTCAGACAGTAAATCCCACGTTGTGTCATCTTCCAGATGAGCGTGTTCCACCAGAATGTGGTATGTATAACAAAATGTTTTGTTGCTGTGGTATTTATTCCTGAACTGTCAACCTGCAGCCTTCCTCATCGTGATGTCCTGAGCCCTGCTTAGTGGAGTATGAATAGCTATGAATGAAAAAAGTATTTCCTTAGTTTCTTTTTATTTGCTTGGAGCAGAGCCATGAAGGTGAAATCTTTTACACTGTGTAACGTAGTAGATCAGAAGCAATATGATAGCAGCTGATACATCCAGATTAGGAGTGAGTTGTGGAGGAAATAAAATCAATGATGGAGAAAGAATGAGCTTACTGTGCAGCTCACTGCTTGCTACTAGTGGCAGAGGAATGAAATGTGTTCATTTAAATAAAATGGGACTGGGGTTTTAATCTTTCAGGACTTGATTTCCCAGAACAAAAACATTGTCTGAGCCACTCTTGAGCTGTAAAGGGTTTACAACTTTGATTAAGCTCTGTAAAGTCGTGATATTATAAAATGCAGATGAATTCAGTGAATTTTGTACATGTAAAGGGACTTAGTAGCTTCCAAAATCAAAGCAAAACCCACAGTTCATATTACACAGCGAAATTAAGATAGAGAGTTTACAATGCAATAAATCATTCACTTTCAGAGCTACAACATCAAGCAGTAGAAGAGAGCCTTAATTTCTTAGTACTTTCTATTGTAGAACTAACCATATTTACATATATACAAAAACTGCATATAAAAATAAAAAAAAATCAGGGTTTCTCTAGGAGGTATGAGCAGGATTAGTATGCTGCCTGTGAAAACCTGATGCATACAGCTGCCGAGGTAGTCCAAGTAAGTACTCAGTGCTGCACTCACAAAGTGCTGGCAGTCCAGTTAAAGTTTGTGTAAGCTGTGGTTATCCCCTCCTTTAGGTAAGCTCGCAGAAACCTCTCCTCTCCTTTAGAATCCTGTGCATTACAGACAGCCAGGGCAGTACTCAGAGGGGCCGTGTCGCTGCAGTGCTTTTGCTGCAGAGCCCTAAGAGCTGGAGCTGCTCTGGTATTGCTTTCCCCTGGAGAACTCCCATCACATAAGTGATGCACACTTGAGAGGTCAACAGAGGAGACATAGCAAGGCAGAGGTTTCTGGAGCAATGCTACCATGGTTGCAGCTTTCTGCTCAAGAGAAGGACGTTTATGCACAGAAGAGAGCATAGCAGCAGTGCCTGTGGTGCCACAAGGAGCCTCACAAGCAGGGAACTTGACTCGTTGAGGTATTGCTCACTGAACCAAAGCTTATGTTGAATGCAAATGTGAAAGTCATAGTCAAGAGAAGACAGTATAAGAGTGTGGTTGAGTATCTGTACTGCATCACTCAGTGCTAATCTAGGGAGAGGACAAAGGTGCTGAAGCACACCTGGCCACGATTCCTGGATTTGCAACTTGATCTACAGGACAAGAAAATACTCAGTTTTGTAAGCCTGTATCTCTGGCACTGCTTTTTTTATTGTCTGTGCTGGGTCTTGTTCTTAGTGCTGCAACCCTCAGACCAGTTAGTCTGAGCAGACATCTTAAGAGACCATCAAATCTCCTAAATCAAGCATCAGGTTGTTAATGTTTTTCTAGGAAAAGTCTGGGTTGTATTGTTGATCATCCAGAAATTATAATACAGATGAACCATTTGAAAAGACAGCTTTAACAGGACCTGTTGGCATCTTCCACACATACAAAATCTCTATATCCTCAGGTTATCAGTGCTTCACTCTGTCTGTCTTCCCTATACAATTTTTCTTGGAGGAAGCATTCAAAGTTCGCCCTAAACGTTCATGTAGTCTTTCTACTCAAGTTAAATCCACCCATCAGTTGGAATACTTGATTGCTGCAAGATATGGTTGCCTATTTCTTTTATATCATGGTATAATAGAGAGAATACAGGCTGCAGAAGCCAGGAGCCTAATGGTACTGAGGAGGTAGTGAAGTTTCATGATATTAAAATCTAAATTTTTATGGTGCCAGATCACTTGACAGAAAATAAATTATTTTTAAAATATTATTTTTAATAATTAAACATTATTTCTTAGTTTTAAAAATTATGGGCTTCCAAGGAAGCAAAACTGTTCACACAGGTTCAATCATCCCTTTTTGAAAACAATAATTATTGTGTTATATGATCAGTAGTCAAAATTACTCACGGTACATTAGTATTCATATCATCATCTCAAAGATGACTTCCTAAATTATATGTGTGATGGTTACCACTGTGACCAAGACTAGGAGTTAAGTTTGGGATTGTTATTAGTGTTAAAAGCCATAAGTTATAGCTTGAATGAAGAACTGTGCAGCTGGAAGATGTGACAGGTTTAATCCCATGTGCAGGGCACATGGAGCAATACAAATAACAATGCTGCAACCAAGGGGGTTCATATGCATGCATATTAGCAAAGGGGTCACAAATGGTGTTCTCAAATGAAAGAGCTGGGACTGGGACTAAGTGTGATTACAGAAACAAAGGATAACCCTCTAAGCAAAGCTGGAAGCACCTGGTGAAATGCTTCAGAGAATTGTTGGCCTTTGGATGGAGATGCCAGTGGTGAAGCAAGTACCACAAGTGCCCAAACAAAGTTACTGAAATAATATAGTACTTCTACCTTTCAAAAGGAGAATATATTTGCATTGAGTAACATCAGCTTCTATAGACCATCTCTATCATTTTAATCATACTGAAATCCCTCTGTCAGATCCCCCAAATAA